GACAGCAGCTCGAGGCAGCTGCGCACCAGCGCGCTCATCTGCTGCATGCTCTGCTTCAGCTCCGTCTCCGCCTGCTCGCACTGGGATATCATCGAGCTCTGACCGGCGTTCGTCATAAATTCTTTTATGTGCTCAAAAATTGAGCTCTCGTCCTCCTCATTGGTACCTGAAAACTCTTGAACCCACGTCATCAGCTGGGGTCCATTCAGTACTTCATTAGTTGTAGCGAAATTTTCTATCTGAGTGTCGAAATCGTTCAGTATCTTTACGAGCGCCTTCATCGAATCCTCGACTGCATTCTTGGCTTGCTTGTAGGATGAATACTTTTGCGATATCGCGTACAGCGGGTGGCTGCTCAGGTTGGAACCGTAAGCTTCAATTTCTTTGATCAACGCCATCTGTTGGTGGCATTCTTGCAGCTTTGCTTCTATCGACTGCAACTCCTCGTTTTCTGCGGCCCATTTCTCGGCGGCTTCTTGCACCTCGGGGAGTATTGACATAAGCTGTTCTCTGAAATAATAATCTATGAATCAATAACCTTCACATAAAAAAAAACACAACAATGAAAGGAGAACGAACCCTTATCGTTCTCCTTATGAAGTAAGGGCGATAATATTACATTAAAATTAAACACACACAAAAAATTAGTATCATGATTTATCTCTGAAGTATTCTTGTTAGCAGAGCTATCGGTAGCCCGTAAATATATGTACGGCGCTGATGCTAACCGCGTTCGCGAGCTCGGCGCGGCGCGGGGACGTGCACAGACAAATTTGATCGCTTTTATGGGCCGCAATAAAAGTTTACGTATTACGTGCGTCGAGTACTGCCGACTCACGTCGACTGCACGATAAAGTTATTCATTCGAGGAAACATTACAATACCTTATTACTAGTACACTCTTTGCTACAATAGCAATCCTTTAAATGATAACGTTGGGTGATGTTTATTTGAGATCGAGATGCAGTTATGAGAGGTGTAACTTACGTGACATCATCGATAGAGTGGTCCATCTCTCGCACCCTGACGGCGAGCATGGCGCGCGCGGCGCGAACATGGCGTGCCCCACGGCGTCGCCCGCCGCCCCACTCCACCAGCGGGTCGTACACGAAAGCCTCAAGTAAAGTCAACAGTGTCTCGCGGCCGCGCCGCACGCTGCGCAGGACATGCTCGCACGCCAGACGGAATATACCCTGCGCACACGCAATTCTGTGAGATTTATAAACAAACATATTGATACAACAATAAAGGGAAGAAGTAACAATTAACAGTATTTGTATTATATCTATGAGGCCGTAACTGTTGTATTCGACAGCGGTGAACTACAAGCGGTTGATAGATAATTTAATTGAACAAGTAACAAATTATTTTTTATTGTGCTCAATAATAACATATGAAGTATAGAAAAGATTTGATATTAAATTGATTCAATAAATCTACTCCGTAAATCTCAATGGGCCTACAAGTCTAAGGAATATATTTTAAGTAAACAGATAACGCTCGTACCGACATCATTATGCTGTTTCAATATTTACGTATGAAAACTTGATACGAGATATCGTAACGATGTCTCAACAAAGACAAGCGTAGTGGGATTTTATTCCCGGTTGCTTTGTTTGTTCAATAAACAACATACAGCGATCGCTCAAAGAACAATGTATGTTTACATTACGATAGATTTAACATTATTACGAGAACGATAAAAGAAGAAAGTCCACAAAAAAATATGAACGATGAAAATACGACCTTGTAATAAAATAAACAAGAAATCCTTACAAATAAACTTGCAAAAGAATAATAAACAAACTGTTTCAACTAAATTTAGAATCTGTCTTCGTAACAATGTTTCTCCATTATGTCTGAACACAGCGAACTAAATTTCGTAGACGTTGTAAAATAGAAACTGAATAAAACATAAACTTTAGGACATAGAGGCGTAGCGTATTTTCTTCGGCAAGGTTACCCATTGTAAAGGCTAAGCCGTGAAGAAACAATAAACCTTACGCGAAAAATAAATGAACTTTTAAATTACATGCAACTTAACTCAATATCTTAAAAACTATAGAATCATACTTCTTCATACTAATATTATAAATGCGAAAGTTTAGATGGATGGATGGATGGATGGATGGATGGATGTTTGCTAGAGTTTGTAGTCCAAACGGCTGAACGGATTTCGATGAAATTTGATATAAGTGTATAGGATAGTCTGGTAGAACACATAGCTACTCACTTTTTTTTTAATTCCACACGGACGTTGTCGCGGGCGAAAGCTAGTATATTATACTTTATACTACGAGTAGTTCGCAGGACACTTAATTTATTTCTTAATTAAGATTTATCCATTTTACATACACGAGTTAAAAATAAAGTAGCAAAGGTTTATAATAAGCATACTGTCGGTTGCCAGGTAATCATAAAGAAAATTGCCATTATAAAATGAATAGTACGATGCCGCTCGAATGACATTCAGCAATTACTAAGTCATGATGATGTTATCTTTATCGCTTATTAGACTGAGCGATAACAATAGACAGCTTCGATACAAGATAGCCAAGATCAATACACCGTACCTCGTACAAGTACCCGCATGGAAACAGGCGCTATGGAAATTACCACAGGCTCTGTTTATTGACACGATATTGATTGGATTACTGCGTCACTAACCCAATGATAAAATGCTCAGGTTTTCAAAAAGTACAGTCAGCTGCATAAGCATGGATACAAAAGTTTAGAAACTTGTGTATATCTTTGGTTTTAATATTTATGCACATATTCGTTAATAGAATTAGTGATCGGAACTCTTAGAGACGGATTTAAGCATTCATATTTCTGAAACCCAAAGTAAAAGGATTTTTTCAAAGCTTTTTAAATGTATATTTGTAGCTGACTGTACTGATGTGAAAGTGTTTAGTTACTTATACTTTCAAATGATTTGCTAATGTAAATTCCCAAATATATTGTCTCGGTAAAAATCTAAACAAATATTATAAAAGTAACATTTGTTACATACAAGTAGCGCCTATATCTTTAGTCATGTGTGAACTATTCCAGTTGAAGAGAACTACCAAAATACCTATCAGCGTGTTTGATACGAAAATCCAATCGGTTAATTCGATTTGTGCCTACAACGGTTGCGTGCTCGCGTATTGAAGTAGATTGTGTACTGGACTACGGTGGACGTAGGAAGATGGATTCAAGTTAATTGACAATTAACTGAAACTACAAACGCGGTGGCTGCGGCGAGTGGCAAGCCGCCTCCCGCGTACTCGCGTCCAAATTACATTTCACTATTTCTCATAATAATTCACTGGAATTGTACTAATTGTGTTTTGATTGATTTCAAAATGAAAATTCATTTGTTAAATTAGTTATGATTATGTTCAATTTACGTATTGTATTATTATTATATGTATAGCGTTTTAAATACAATTAAACGACGCGGATCTTTTTTTACAAATTGTAACTATTGAAACACTAATTATGCGTAGGTTTGCAAAATACGACCACGAACATTTAATGAATCCTAAACAGAAAGCGGTGGCGATACTATTTAAGTATACAGTGTCTTAGTACATTGTTAGGGTAACAAAGTAAGAATTTGATTCGTTTTACGCATTCTTTTCTACATGAGTGGCATAGCAACGGAGCCAATTTTATACCAGTGATGTTATTTTTGGTAGTGGGCAACGTCACAGATCAATAGTGGTGCCCCGAAGGACGTCTAACGTTGGCGTCGCGCCAGCTCGCAGCCAGCTCGCAACCTTGACCTGATACATCCTCTAGGACACGCTGTTGTCGACCACACGATACTATTTTTACATTCAATACGATTTTTTTCAATGCGTCAAAATTTATTGTTTGACTCCAACCTTGATGGAATAAGGCGATGTTAAAACGTACAAGTACAGCGAATGATAAATCGTTGTAGACAGAATGACCTATTAACGTCCAAGTTAGTCTAGCAGCGAAAACACCCAAACAAAATGCTTTAAAAAGGGATGAAATGCCTTGAAAAATTGCCCAAAAACTGCCTTGATCTATAATATATTTAACCCGTAAAATAGTTTTTTAATACGTTTATTTCGATACATTTCCTTGTGTAAATGTTGCTTAGAGAAAAATTTGAAGTACTATGAACCTTTAAACTATACCTTACTGCTAAATCAAACATCTTAACTGCACATACCTTTGCCATATTTATTAGTAGTCATAGTCAACATAGAGGCAAGCGTGCGCTTATGAAATCTGCTCAGAATTGGGACGCAGTGACCCGGCGCATACCACTTACAAGACACGCGACCTCAGGAATCAAATTAATAACGTACTTTATGCATTATCCAAATTAATATAAACCGAACTATGTTATACACTAAATGTTAAACATTTCATTGTGTAAGTTCATATCTTAGCGTGGAAGTCCGAAACTTTGTCAACAACACAAACAAGCCGCGTAACACAAACAATACGACATTGCTGTATGTACATTTGCATTAATTACGAAGCAAGTTATAAATTATACGGACAATAAGTATTAACACGTGTAATAAATAGACAATTGAATGACTCTGTATAAAAGTAATCTAATTCTCATTCATTCAAATGTAGTTTTGTTGTAAACTAGTGCTACGCAGCTCGTAGCACGACGTAGAACTTGTAAGAAGAGTTACGAGTTAAATTGTGCCTATGTATGTCGAATTTCCCCCGTTTTAATTTATTTTATTCTTTGAATTTAACAGTATTTCCAGGAAAGTATAATGAATACCAAAATAAGATTTTTTTGTAACAAACTTTAATTTCTCTCCGCATTAATAACTTTTATTAGGTAACCTGGAATGTCGGTGAAGTAGGAAACAAAACAAAACAAATAAAAGTTAGCCTCAACTGGCAACATTTTCGCTCCATTTCCTTGATAATTTTGTTTTTTCGTCTAAGCAAAAAATACAATTACTTTACATTTATTACGATATTAAGTAATAATTAATTTATTATCACACCAATAACTAAAAAAAGCCCACATTTCTCGGGAGATTAAGGGTAATTGACGCATTTATTGCAGTAAAAGGTTTAATTAGAAGTATGTAGAATTAGAAGGGTGGGCGACGTATTCGCAGTGACCTAGAAACGGGATCCATCTGTGAGATTACAGTCTCACTGCCTTCGAAGTCAATTAAATGTACACTTAGTTCTACGCCACTGGCATCGCTCCATCTTTTGTGTAGTACATAAAGTCTTCTAGAATTTATTATGACTAAGAATGTGCTACAAATTTTACTTGAATTATAAATACAACTAAAACAGCGAAGGCAAAAAAGCAACAAACATATTGAGGTTTTCAAGGATGGAGCTTGGAAATGGATCTATCAAATAACAGTATTTTGGCTTTTAATCTATTCTATTATAATAAGGAGAAAATACTTTTGAAATTATTGTATTGAAATAACTCAAAAACTACTAGGCCGATTTCAAAAATTTTTTCACCCTTAAAAAGCTACGTTATCAGTGAGCATAGGCTATATTGTAAAATATTTTTAAATTTCTCTCGGCCGAAGTCGTTTACAATATATTTTACCAAACTCGGAGAGTAAATTCGCAAACAAAAATCTTTACGATGCATCCGAATTGAACAAAGGCATTACGGCTGCGACTTGCATGAATGTCGACGTTAGCAGATTCAATGTGACCTAGATAGTACTAGTGTGGTAGGAAGATGTGCGCGTCTGCACTGGCAAGACCATCGATCAGCAGGCGCTGTTTGCAGCAAATGGGTCAAGTGACCGCCGCTAATTAGAAAAAATACTACTACGTTAGAACAGTGTCGTTAGTTTTACGGATACTATTGATTTAATAAGATATTCTAAGGTTGAAACAATTTAGTGTCTACCTTGAGAACAGACCAAAGTTAATGGACTAGTACACAGAGCTGATATGGGGTACGAGAAATACTCTCAAGAACGTGGAAATACTTCTGTCTTACATTGGCAAAGGTTGATATTTAAGATAAAGGTTATACCCTACGGCAATAACTTAATTTATAATAACTTTCCTATTTAAACAGTAACTTTGTTGCTACATATTTTAGTTTCCATTGTCAATTTTTAATATAAACCCGTTTAAAATGCCTTCAGAATATAGGTCAACGCAGAAGCCTAACTTTGTGTTTGCGAAGTTTGAAGCCTTACGGCAGGTGGCG